ATGTGAAGGTTTTGGCATGGCTGCATTCATCTCTGGAGGCCCTAGGAGAGAATTCATTTTCCTGCCTTTTTCATCTTCTAGAGGCTACCCACATTCCTTGGCTTGTGCACCCCATCCTCCTCCCCTTACTTCATACTCCAAACTAACAATAGCAGGCTGAATCCTTTTCATCAGCCAGGAAGGTTCTCTGATTTGGGGGCTCATGTGATTGATTTAGGGCCCACCCAGGTAATCTGGGAGAATTTCCATATCCCGAGGTCCTTAACCATAATCACATCAGCAAAGTCCCTTTTGCCACACAACAGAACACATTCATAGGTTTCCAGGGCTTAAGATGTTGATCTCATTATTCTTCCTTTTGCGAGAAATTTCACTAAAAAGGTTGGAATAGGCCTCACCTGGACAAACTCTGCTCCCTTACTATTGCACAGGTGAGGCAGCCGAGAGGTGAAATGACTCAGTGCTAAATTTAGAGCTGAGGCTGAACCCCAAGTCTCTTGACTTTGAGTCCAGAGTTTTTTTTCCAAAGCCTGTTTTTCAAAGTGTGGTTTGCTCACCAGCAGCACCTACATGACCTCGAGTTTATTAGAAATGCAGGTTCTCAGGTTCACCTCATACCTACTAAATTGGACTCTGCATTTTAGCAGGATTCCCAGGTAAATCTTTTGTATATTTCAGTTTGAAAGGCACTCATCTAGGACATCACAGAGCCTCCTGTTTCTTTCCTGACAAGAAGGTTGTATATGATTGAATGAGGGACTATCTCAAGCCTCATTGCTTTCTTTAGAGCCAAACATATTCTGATCCAGATTGATCAGATCTCTAAAGATGCAGACATAGCACTACCATCTCCAGTCCTTGCTTACCTAGGGCAACTTCTGGATGCCAAGCTGAGTGTTCCTATATTATGTCACATAACTTTCTCTTCTTAGGAGAGAGGCAGTACAAGAAAGCAGTAAAGCCCTTGGATCCTGGAGTCAGCCTGCTTGGGCTCAACTCCTGGCTTCACCCTCTTAACTTAAGATCTGTGACCTTGGACAAACTATGTATCGTCTCTGTGTTTCAATTTCCACACTATAAATAAGGATGAGAATAATAGCACCTACTTCATAGTTGAGAAGTAAATGAGTTAATATATGTAAACCACTTAGAATCTGCCACTTAGCAAGAGCAATGTGTTAGTTATTTCTCATTCTTCTGGGACCCCTTCCAAGTACAAGCAAAATCCTCAATGAACTCAGTCTCTAGGAATTTCTCAAGACCGTATCTTCTGGGCTCAGAGGGGACATTCTGAGCATGGTTCCAGGTGACAAGAGTATTCACTGATCTAGTGCCACACTCCAGTGGTCAAAACTACACTGGCATCAGAAGGAAGTCCAGGGAGAAAGGACTGCCTATGGCTGAAAGCATTTGGTTCACTGGTATGTGATGCTTCATAGTTTGTGACTAACATTTTTGTTCAATCATCAAAGAGCTTTAAAGAAACACACATGGGTCTAATTGCATTAATTTTCAGAACCATTCTGAATACAATAGAAGGGGCCAGGATGCTGAGAAACTTTAAACCCATATCACTGCATGACCACACTGCATTTTTAAAGGCTTTATGAAAGTCAAATCTGTTTCCATTCTAGTCATCTCTTGGAACCTTGAAAGCTAATGTAGGAATTTATAAATAAATACCGTGCTTTTTAAAGCATTACACTGAAATTTAAAATTGCAATTTGGTCTTGTTGGAGGACATTGAAGCAGAATTCATCTTCTTACTGAGTGAGCATCTGCAGATTTTACAAAATGGATTTTTAAGTTTTCTATTCTAGTGAGCCATGGAATCTCAAAGTTCAAAATTTGTTAAAGTCAATTTTATCTATTTTCTCACCTTCATATCTCTACCAATTTTGAAATATGCTAAATTATCTTTAGAAAAATGGAAGAACACCAAGGATAATTTAATGAACTCACTTTAAAAATATTTTTAATTTTAAATATAAGGCATGTTATGAACTGAGACAGCATAAATTAACATAAAATGCAAGTTAATCAACAATGAAATATTTATTCTGTAATAAATCAACCATACAGGACATATCACAACACTGTAAGAATTAACTGAAGAGCCTTAAGGCAGGAACACAGAAAAGACATTTCCAATAAACCTTTGGTTTGATACCTACTCCTTCTATGGGGATTCTCTTGTGTTGGATATGGCTTTAGAAATTCAGACATGAAATTATTCTTAATGTTTTATTTAATAAGGAGAATATTTATTATATCACCTTTTGATCTGAATTAGAGGAGTAAGAATTATGGAATTGTAGTACAGTAAGTCCTCACTTAATGGCGTTGATAGGTTCTGCAACTTTAAGTGAAATGACATATAATAACACTAATTTTACCATAGGCTAATTGATATAAAAAAGAGTTAATGCCCTACAGCATTTCAACAATGTTATAACAAAATGATGTTGAACAAAAGGATGTGATTTGAGGACCTGCTGTAGTACCAAAAAAAAAGGTTGTGGAAGTTATCTTTGTTCCAATGAAGAACTGAAGTCCAGAGAGGCAAAGGGGTATCAGGGTCCCAGGGTCTACGGCAGTCTCTGAAAAATGACATCAGAAATTATGGGAAGCTGGAACACACTACCTGAGTGCCCGAATAGAGCCCTGACTGGGTTCCTCAAGAACTGGGTGGGTCTTTTTCAATTAGCAGTGACAAAATCAAGTATGATGACACTTCTCATCTCCAGCTGGCAATCAGAAAACATGTGCTGTGTAACAGCAGACCAAGCATGTCTTGCTCTGATTCAAGTCAGCAGTGGTGCCTGCTGAAGGTTTCATTGACTCAAGGTCTCCATTATGGACCAGGAGGGATTTGGCACTAGGGGAAAAAGTTAGACTGAATGACTGCTTCCTCAATCCTCAAAGACCACTGTGCTTGATATGTTTACTTATCAGCTTTCTCTTTAACCATAAATAAATTCCAATGCAAGAATAGCAACATATTTGTCATAGAGAGCCAAAGAAACAAAGTGGTGAAAATTACAAGCTCTACGGTCCTACTGCTTGGCTCTTGGCTCTACCACTTACTATCAGAGTGATCTTAAGTTAGGTAATATCACTGTGTTTATTTTCTCAACTGTAAAATGGAGATAATTATAGTAATATCACATGGGGTTGTTATTAATATTAAGTGAGAAAATATACTGAAAGAGTGAAAATGAATCCTGTTAGTAATGAGACTGCAGTGTTTTTAATGGAATGTCAACCCAATATTTCTACCAGACCATACCCAAGGCCACACTACTGCTACAAAAAGACTAAGTTCCTTCTTCTGCATGATTTCTGCTTTCTTACCAACATCATCCCTCGTCTCACTTTGTTCTTCTTGCCTCCAGAACAAAATTATTGAGATGTCCAATTGCTGGACCATCCTTGCTTCTTGATAGCATCCATTTCAAAACAAGTCCCTGCTTCCCTGACACCACCTTAAAATTCACCCAGAATAAGTTCAGTCCAAATATTATACCAAGCCCCTCCCAACTCATTCATCTTGAGACATCCTCAGGTATACACACTGTCTTGCTGCAGCAAGATAATTAGACTTAACCTTTTTTGTGTCAGGTGTGCTCCTGGTGGTCTTTGATGGGCTTCCACAATACTGAGCACATACTAGGTAGGACATTATATGCACAAGAAATGCTAGCTATTGGCAGTAGTAGGCAAATCTTCTCCCCCACCCCCCCAGCTTCTTTGTGTAGCATACCTCAAGACATGCTTGTTCAATGAAGAGCCATTCTAAAGTAACTGTGAAGCCAGGTAGCATGACTAGGATGGAGGATGTAATTTTTCCTCCAAGGCCCAGTGTTATTTGGAAGTGCCTAGGGTAACTGCAATGGTAATTGGTGAAACTGGAAAAGCAAGCAAAGCTTTTGAGCCTACTGAAGTCCTAGTAGTAACCAGGAATTGACCATTGCCTGGAACTTTTAAGTCAGGCTAGCCAGATCTGCAATAAAAAGGAGAGTGTTAAAATAGCTAAACTTTTAAGTTCTTATTCCTGAATTTCTACAAACATCCATTTGGCAATTAAGGAAACGGACTTTTGAAGTAGTAGAATGAATGCTCAAGGCACTCACATGATTAGGCTGGAGCTGAAACCCAGGACAGGGATTTATTTGTACAGAAGGTGTATTAGCTACCTATTGCTGTATCACAAATCATCCTAAAACAATGATTCAAAATAATAGTAATCATTTACATTCTTTGGTAATGTCTTCTGGTTAAGAACCTGCGATTTCCTTAGCTGGGTGGTTCAGGCTCAAGGTCTTTCATGAGTTGCAGTCACATAAAGGGTTGCCTAGGCCTGGAGGACCCACTACCTAAGTGGTTCACTTTTGGCTGAAAAGTTGATTCCTCTTCATATGGGACTCTCTACAGGGCTGTTGGAGTGTCTTCAGGACATGACCACTGGCTTTCCCCATAGGAAGCAATCTAAGAGACCAAGACAGAAGTATCAATACCTTTCATGATCCAGCCCTGAAAGTCACATATCATAACCTTGGCCATATTCTATTGTTAATACATGCCAGCCCTGTTTCAGTGTTGGCTTTGCCCATCTGCCAGATGTGCTATTTTAGACTAACACCAAAATCCCCAGTGTTCCCTCATTTATAGCATAAAAATAACTTCCTTCCAGGGCTATTTTGAACATAAACCAATACAAGAATATCAAGCACTGCTTAGTACAATGAGCTACCTCACAGAGGGCATTATTGAGATGTGATTAGGCTTCCTTAAAAGCCTGTCCCTTGTTCACCTCTAAAGTTTAAACTCCAAACATTCCCCTTTTTTATTTCAACACCCCTGGAGAAACAAGTCATTCCCCGCCCTCCCTACCCCAACTCGGATCCAAGGTAGGACTATTCTGGAGGCAGAACTCTAGTTCCGGGTGCTGACCACGGTGCCCGGAGCTCATTGCGGACCGGACCGGAAGTGGCTCCCGCGGCTCTCTTTCCGTCCCCGAGCGCATCAGCGGACACCTGGCGGGAAGGCTCTGGAAGGATAGCGGCGGGCGCGTGACGGCAGCCTGGGGACGCGGTGAAAACGGAGTGGTGGGGTCCCCGGAAGTGGAGCAACCCGAGCCCTCTCCGGCCCCTCCATGCTTGGTTGGAGACTGCTGGCTCAGACCGGCGCCCAGGTGCTGGGCCGCGGCGCGGGGGACCTGGGTGCTCCCCGGGGCTCGGGAAACAGGTGCGTGTGGGCGAAAGACAGTGTGTGGGTGTGTGGGCCCTGTAAAACTGAGACTGAGCAGTGGCATGCCCCGACGCGGAGGGGTCTGCCCTGGGTGGATGAGGAAGGGCGCGTGTCCAGACCTGAGGTATGGAAGAGTAAGGAGCGGTACTTAAGGAAGTGCCCTTTAGAGGACTGAAGGGGTGTTTTTTTGTTTGTTTGTTTTTAATGCTTATGGGCCAGCGACTCGCAGCGAGCATTTCTAACGGTAATAATAATATCTATCAATTAATGAGCGTTTTCTATGTACTAGATGCTCTATTAAGTATAGTAGTCGCCTTAGCTCATGTAGCCTGACTTGAGAGAACTATGATTAACTTTTACAGATGCTGTCATTATTTCTTACTACCATTATTCCGTTTTGCAATAAAAAGAGAAAACGGAGATTTGGAGAGAAGTAACTTGCCCAAGGTCACTCAACTAATAAGTGCAAAATTGGGACTCTAACTTGAATCATCCGGACTGCCAAAGAGGGATAGACTACAGAAAGCTTAATTCTTTTCTGACACTACTTGCAAAAATTATCTCCTTCCCGACCTCAGTGCCCTAAGGTCTTTTCTTGGTGTGTTCAGCTGATGAGAGATCATGTCTTTTAAGTTTGCACATACAGTTTCTTGACCACTCTGAGTCTAGGCCATACTATTTCTGAGAAGTGAGCTTATCAGAGAAAGATCAGCATTCATTTCTGCCATTTCCACCGGATATGAACTATTAAGGTACACATTCAGATGTGTCAGTGGCTTTTCCTGTGTCTAGGAAGGACTGCTTTGTTAGAAAACTGTTTATCCCAGAGGGGAAGATGAAGAACTTTTCCTCCAGGGTAACCAGTTTTCCTCCAGGGTAACTACATTAACAGTTAAAATGCGAATCCCATGATTGTCATAAGGAAGGTGAGGAAAAAACAACTTGCCCCAAATCCAAACCCTTTCCTAAGGTCCTGAGGACACTTGCCAATTCATGTGGCCCTCCTTCCCTATATAAATAAGGAAACTTTTGAATTGTGATTTGTTTTCTAATTTTTATTTTTACAGAACAGACCTCTGGCTTTTCGTTAGGAGTCTCCATGGCAAGAGTGGTACTTGGTGGGATGAGCATCTTTCTGAAGAAAATGTCCCGTTTGTTAAGCAGTTGGCCTCTGATGAAACTAAAGCCCAGTTAGCAAGTAAACTGTGTCCTCTGAAAGATGAACCGTGGCCTATACATCCTTGGGAACCAGGTAGTTATTTTTTATATGATGAGTTCTCCTGATTACTTTGTGGCTGTCACATTCAAAATTATAGTGACTGCTTGATAAATTTATCATCTCTTGAATTTATTTTTTATGTCTTAAGTTAGTCTGTTTCATTGTGGTTTGATTTGCAAGTTTATTTCCAGCATCCTATTCTACTGTTACTGAATGTCTGATGATAATCAAGACTTCCTAAAGAAGCTGTTTTGTATGTGAAAGGAGAATCATTTTGCATACATTTTCTTGTTTCCTTCATATAAAAAAGAATATAAAAGTAAGCCAGGGAAGGGGCCAGCTGAGTGGCTCAGTTGGTTAAGAGCTCGCTCAAGAATGCGAGCTCTGAGCAACAGGGTCGCCAGTTCGATTCTCGGCCTGAGCTGAGCTGCTGCTGAGCTGCCAACAGCTAGCAGGATGGCTCAGCTAAAAAAATAATAATAAGCCAGGGAAGAAAAGCTGAAAGAGTATAATTGTAAATTGTAATGTGTCACACAGATATTTTCAGTTGGGATGCTCTAGCACTCCAGGTTTGCCCAGCGTAACCCCAGAATCAGCTTTTTGTACCCAATAAAGGGCTGAACCCATATGTACACAGACCAAGAAGAATACGGCCTTTCCTGTTGAGAATGTGGTTTCTGGTTGGGGTTTATTGTAACAATTGAATTGTATAGTGGCCAAAAGTTCTTAGTGGAGCAACTTTTTATCAATTTATACAACACATCTAAGTGTCATAATGGAGGCCAACATATTTTAGCAACATGACCACTTGTGACATCTTGTTTCATTTATGGAGTTCCTTCAACTCCACTATAACTCCAGCTCACTTCTTAGAATTTGAGTGGTAAATGTTTTCTAATTAATGAAGTTGGATATGAATTGAATCTAGGAAACCAAAGCATCGTGATGGATTTATCATGCTCTCTATTAAAGCACTATTTTAAAACCAGAATATATCTGTTTAGCTGTTTTCTTTATTTTGTATAGTTCTTATATTTATTCATTTTGTTGACTACCAATAAAATGAGATTTATTGACAACCAATATCATGTTAGGCATGGCTGAAGGTACTTAATCTGTAAGAAACAGTTGTGTTGTACTCTATGAATATATCAGCATGTTTCGTATGTGCCTGCTGCTTATATTGATACCACAATACTATTGCATCATGTTTACAAATGTTGAAAAAGCTTGTGTTAACATTCATTTCTTTTTCATTGCCAGGTTCCTCTAGAGTAGGCCTCATTGCATTGAAGCTGGGCATGATGCCTTTATGGACCAAAGATGGTCAGAAGCACGTGGCCACGTTACTTCAGGTAAAAAACAGGAGATGGAACAGATCTGTCTGTGTGCCATGATCTATTTGTGCAAACCTAAATGGGCAACATTTGTATTCTGAAACATGTGACTGTGTGGTGAAGAATAGGGTAATTTGACCATAAATACTAATAGAGAACTTTACTTCTGATGGTTTCAGTGAATGTTCTCACTCTTGCCTAAGTGGTGGTCTTCTTGATACTGGCATGGGATAACTGGGGCAATTAACAAAAAAAGATTGTAACCTAGTTTCTTACAGATCTAGTTTGACTCATAATCAGAAAAAAATCTCAGTCCCATCATATTTTCATTTATGGATTATTTTTCAACTCCAAATTGTAATTTAGATCTCTTTGCAAACTCAGAATGTAATACTCTTGCCTGGGGAAGCAGTATTGTGTTCCCTGAAGTAAGGTAGACTCCTCTAATGGTTAAAAATGTGGGCCCTAGGACCAGAATCTCTTATTTCAGGTCGTGGTTCTGCCACTTCCTGGCTGTGTTCTTTGGAGCACTGTGCCTCTTCTGTAAAAAACATAACTTTATGTTGTAAAAGAGATAGTTATGATCTACCTCAAAAGGTCATTGTGAAGATTGTACAAGATGATAAATGTCAAGCACTTAAAACATAAAACAATGTTAAATGTCCAATGAATGTTAGCTGCTGTTGTCTTTATCATTATTATTGTAGAAAGATCACTGATAAAGTTAGGACACCATCATTCCTCAAATCACTTTGGACAACTCAGGTCCTCTTTGGGGCCCAGCCTTAGACAAGTGATTCAGCAGGTGGTGGTCAATAAAAGGAGAGCTCATGCACATAAGGACTTAGAGTGCTGATAGGCACAGAGGGCCTTTAACCCTTAGTAAATTTTTATTAGCTCCGATCAAGGATAGGATTCTAGTTTCTAGAACTCTAAGGAACTTTAGGAGCTTTCGGAAATGACTGGTAGATTATAAATTGGTATGACCGCTTCAGAAAACAATTTAGCGTTGTGTGGTAAAGTTGAGATAAGTGAACCTTACAGTCTAGCAATTCCATTTGTGACTGTTACTAGAAAACTTGAGCAGGTGTGCACCATGTTAACTGTACAACAGTGTTTGTTGCAGTATTACTCCTAATACTCCTAACTAGAAGTAACCCACGTTTATCAGCGGTAGAATGGGTAAATACATTGTGGTATATTCACATGATAGAATGCTGGCTAGCAGTGAAAAGGAACAGAATGGAGCTGCATGCAACAATATGGATGACCCTTACAAATAGAATCTTGAGTGAGGGAAGCAAGACGTGGAAGAGTACTTAGAATCTGATTCCATTTACATAAAGTTTAAATCAGGCAACACTAAACTACATTATTAAGCAATACTTTCAAAGATATAAAGAAAAGAAAGTAAATGATTACCATAGATATCAAGAGTAGTGGTTATTTCTGGGGCAGTGCATCTCAAACTTCAGAATCACCGGGAGGGCTTATAAAACAGAGGTTCCGATGTAGTAGGTCTCTGCTGAGGCCTGAGAACTTACTTTTCCACCACGTTCCCAGGTGGTGATGATGTTGCTTGTCTGTGGACCACACTTTGAGAGCTACTGCTCTAGGAGTTTTAGAAACCTGTGGGGTGGTGGCAGGGAGTATTGGGAAGAGACACACAGATGTTTGGAGGATTCCACTTCTTGACATGGGTAGTGGTTGCGTGCATATTTTCTTTATAAAAACTCAATTTGTTGTATATTGTGTTTTATGCACTTTTTTGTATGTGCTGTATTTGACACTTTTTTTCAGAAGTTATCTGGATTGTAAGATTATGGTTGGTGTTAGAGGAATAATAAGTAACTTTAGGGAATTCCTAATTGTCCTAGGGCCTCAATGTGACTGGTGTATAATGTTAAAATGTATCTTGGCACAGACTTATTTTTTCTTAATGTTTGTATTTTTAGGTACAAGACTGTCACGTTCTAAAGTATACTCCAAAGGAAAACTATAATGGAAAAATGGCAGCCCTAACTGTAGGAGGAAAAACTGTATCCCGTTTCCATGTAAGGATGTATTTTCATTCCTGGAATAGTACATTTCATTTGTTTCAAATCTGAATTTCTTACAGTTTGAGCATATTCCATAGCCACAAACTTGCGTTTGTCTGTGAGGTAAATTGTGGATTTGGGGGAGGCAGTCTAGTAGAGCCATAGAGCCCAAGAGTCAGAGAGACTGAGTTTGTTCCAGTATTTCCCCCCTCTATCTGTAACAAGTAACTTTACCCCATAAGCTGCAGTATTTGCCCATCCATAAGATGGGGATAAAAATACTGCTTACATAAGAGTTTAGTTACCAGGATAACATGAGGTTTTTCAAATGTGCCTTGCATGTAGCAGACACTCAATAGGTGGTACCTATTTTTTAATTTTGTTGTTTTATGTTTAATTTCACTGTTTTTCTAAATTGTTTCAACAACTGACACAAACAGCATGTGAGGGGTAATTCTGTGTATATTAGAAGGAGCTTTCAGTATTTGGGGAAAAGCCACATCAGATTTTTTTAAATGAAGTATTTTTGCCAAGTAGCGTACTAATAGAATTCTGAGTTTGTAGTTTAATTTTGAAAAATCTGGGCAATTAGTATCCTTTATTGGGTGAATAAAAGCAGAGACTATAGAGAATACCTTTCTAGAAATGATGATGGTTTTCACTAATGGTACTGAAACATTTTTAGGTTTACTAAAATGTTGCTTATCTCTAAAATACCTTTCCATTGTAAATTGTTTATGAAGTGAACATGGATAGAAGTTAGGACACAGCCTGTGCTATGCAACTGTCAAAACTAGCAAGTGCTTATTGTGTGCCTCCTGTTTCCTGGTCATAGTTAACTTTTATTGAGCACTTATTACACGCCGGGTACATAAGTGTTAAACCTTTACATTTATTATGTAACCTTTTCAGCCTCTGAAGCTAAACAGGGTGAGGAACTCACCCAGGGCCACCCACTGGTGGGAGGTAGAGTGACAAGCAGACTCCAGAGCCTAACTTTCTTAACTGTGTCTTGATATCCACTCTCTGGGAACTCATAGGCAAGTGGGGAAGATGGACAAATAAATCAGCCATCTCAATACAGTATTACAAATGCAGCAAGCACAGAATAGGGGCGGCCAGTTCTGCTTGGGCAGATCCCAGAGCTTTCACAGGGAGGAGACCAGAAAGGAGATTGTGTTGAAGATGTGCCAGAGGGAACGGTCTGCAGATCTGCAGAAGCAGAGACGTGGGAGAGGGTGTGTGCTTGGAAAGAGAAGTGTGCTGTGTCTCGGTCTCAGTGTGTGGGTGTGGGGCCAGTGGAGGAAGGTGGTAAAGGTACTTCTGTCAGGGTAGAGGGCTAAGGAGTTTGGAATTCATCCTGTAGCCTCCAAGGAGTCTTCTGGATTCTTTAACCAGGGCAGTAACGTGGTCAAATTGTTATCTTCGTCAACTAAATCATAAGAATCTGGATGCAGGGAGGACTTTTAGGAGGCTGTTTTAAGCCCTAACGGAGAGTTGATCAAGGCTTTTGAACCAGGGCAGTTGCACTGGGCTTCGAAGGAGCAGGGATATGTAGAAGACTGGGTGAGTGTGAATGTGTGGTGAGAGGACTTAGGCATAGAGCGGATTCTAACTAAGCAACCAGGTCTGTGCTTATGCTGTAACCTGGAATTCGGACAAGGAAAAGGAAACTTCGGAGGAAAGATGTGTTTGAGGTGTTCAGAGAAAAATCCAGGTGGAGTTTTCCTGTAAATAGTGGTATATACTGATCATCAAATTGGCGGTGGTTGAAATCGGAGTCCTATAGCTTAGGAGGATTATAGACCATTTAAGCCTGTCTCGTAAGTATTAGAAAAGTTAGCTATTTTTGCATATTATGGTAGTTTATTTTTCATGAAAGCTTTATAGCAATATCCTGCTATTAATTTTTGACAGTTTATTGACTAATAATTTCAGGGTTCAAATAATTCCACAGTAATTAAAAGCACAATGAGATACTTATGGAAATTTTTTAAAAATGTCAAATGGTTGAACCTTTAACTGTGTAAGTAGGTGCCAGCCTTCATGTGAATCGTGTGAACAGTTCTTTGGTTTGGTAGGCACCACTGTTTTCTAATTAATTATGTTTCTTTGTTTTTGTTATGATTCACACCATCGTTATTTTCATTACCAAATGTGTAAATTCATGACTATGGCTTTGATATTTGTAAATCAAGCATCATGTTGGGATAATCCAATTCTGCTTCAACAGACCCGTCAACATTACTTCCTCACGACCATGAGCTAGTAGAAAAACATGTGGATGTGGGGTCGGAAGAGCCGAGTCTGATCCTGATTTCTACCATTAGCTCCTCCACTCCTGCTTTGTGAACATCCATTTTCTCATCCAGGAAAACAGGGAATTGGGCTTGATGGCCTCTGAATTCTCTCCCAGTTGTAAACGTCTCACATCGATCTCTAATATTTTTGTTTTCTAGAAAAAACAAAAGTTTTGGGGGAAAATGTAGTTGCCAGCTCAATTTATTCTGTATTCCTTAGTGATGAAGATGTCTGCCAGATAAAATTTTAACATAATGTTAATAAATAAAATATTACAGAAATGATAGTTCTGCTCTTCCATACTTAAGACTAGTCTGCATATTTTAAGCGTTATTTCTTCAATGAATATACTGCACAGCAGGTGCTTTGGATGTTGTATACTTATGTTGTGATGGATTTTAGCCCACTTAACATATGAAAAACTTTTAAAACTATTCACTTCTCTAGCATAGCGTAGATAGTGCTACAGAGGCCCCTCTTATTCTTCAGGATACAAATTTTCTAGGTCCAGAGGACATGTATTATTACAATATTAAGAAAAAGCTTTGTCTTTGAATGACAATTCTTTAGACTGGTATGTGAAAATGAAGTTTTAGAATTCCTTGTAAGGAAAGCATTTTGATTCAGAAAGGAAAAAAATTTTCGAGACCAAGTATAAAACTTCCTATTCTGTATTGTAACCCTTAGGAAGCTGTAAGTAGATTGATTATAGAGGGTTTTTTTAAAAAGATAAAGACATATGAATATAAAATAATAAATAGTGAAGCATTCTGAAATAAATTGACTAAAGCAGTTTTATTTCTAATAGGGCTAGAACTGTAGAATTGTTATTCTTTTAATCTGCAAAGGATTTATGCCACCAAGAAACGAGACTACTTTGCTTTTGCTATTTTTGTACCTTGTTATAAATAAAAACTGATGTGGTACATAGTATCTTTGAATAAAGAAGTTAAATGGCCTTAAAATTGATTAGATCAGTTCATCTTAGGAGCAGAGGAGCATTTTCATTGTGAGAAAGATAATTGCAAGGAACTTTGAAGAGGAGGGAAAATGCATTCTCATCGATGGGATTATCCAAGTGTGACATTGCTGTCAGTCTTTTAAATTGCCTTTTGAAATTATTTATTTGGAAGTTTAAAAAAACATGTGTGTTGCACTGCTGCTGGCTTCAACTCATCTTGAGCGTTTGGTTTTTCTCATGACTGATATCTAATTTTATGATAGTTTGAACACTGTAACTTTTTTCTTTGAAATCAATTTTAGTGAATTTCAAAGACAATCAAGAAGTATGTATTACATTTTTTCTTTTCATATCTCAATCTATAGTTATTTAGGTCGAGATCTTTATGTTGTCTATTTTGTATTACTAAAAAAGTAAAGGAAGTTTCTCAGAAACCTCCTGGCATACTTAAAAATTGATATTAATAAAATAATATGCTTCTTAAATTACCAGGTAGTATATGTGAATGTCAAAAATCAAATTGAAGCTGTTCTCCATTTAATAAATCTGAATCTGATGTATCAGGAAAATAATTTCAAGGAGCCACATTTTTAATTGAAACTTTTGTGTTTGCTTTTGTTTTCGAAGTATAATTGAAGATGAAAAGCAAGGGCCTTTGTAAAGTTGTGTTGAATGTTAGTCTTAGCTTTGAGCATGTAGGAAGGAAAACCACAGAGAATATCTGGAATGAATTTATGTCATCACTCTTTGGAGGAAAGGATGGCTTCTTGAGGGAAAGCTTATAAGGTACAGAGCAAACTTTTGCAGACATCCAGAGCAGAGCTGCTCAGCATTTGTTGCATGATCCCACTTGCGGGCCCCAGGGAGATTCTAAGGAATTGTGGACTGACCTATCCAAAAATTAAAGTTCTGTGTTTACAGGCCAGTGCCACCCAGTTTCATGTCCAGTAAAGGCAGTCTACCCAGTAAATTACAAAGGGGCACTAACAGTTCCTATTTTAAACTGAAATTAGCAAGCACCTTGTTTGCTGCATAATCAGATATTATACTCTGCACATAGGTCTGGCTGTGCATAGACTCCATTGGATTTTGTGGAGGATGATGTTTTGTTATCAGTACTTCATCCGTGTCACCTTGAACTGGTTAGGGTTTTCCAGTTGCTGCTATTCTTGCTTTTTAACTTAACAAATTATTGTTGGTTTGGTTTTATAGTAGTTTAGTTCTTGTAGGTTTATTCTGTTTATTGTGGTGTTTATTTTAGGCTTATAGTTTTTTAATAACTAGAATTAAAGATAATGGCCACACACTGCCAGACCACAAACACAGTAAGTTTGTGTGCCGAGAGCCAATGCAGCAGCAGTAAGAATGGAAAGGTAGGGTGACTTGGAGAGACAAACTAGGACTTCACATTCAGATGGATGTCTGTTCTCCATCTTCTGTGTGTTTTCATCATTTATTTAGCTCACTTTTGCAGTGCCTGACCTGCTACTGTCCTCAGCTCTAAAGTTATAGACACAGGTGAATAAAATAGGCCCTACCATCCAGGTGTTCACAGGCCAGCAAGCAAACAGATATGTGTGTTTTGATAAGTATAAGGTAAGGTGGACAATAGAGATGTAGGCATACAAAGAGTATCATGGCTCATTGGAGGTCTGCTGGTGCTGCATTTATGATTAAAGAAGTTGAGGAAGAGGGAACAGCAGGAAGATAGATGTACCTGTGTTGGTTATATTCTCATGAAAGTGATACTCTTCACATTAGGAAATACAAGTAGTACAACTTTTTGGCAAGTCTTAGAGCAATCTATATCAAGAGGCTTAATTAAAAAAAAAAAAAAGACCCAGGACATTGTGGTAAGGAAGTAAGATGTCCATAAAATTTTCTGTTCAAGGATACTTAAAACAGAGATAAAGGCAGAGGTGAAAGGAAGAGTAATCGGGAACAGGTAAGTTGATGTTTGGATGGAAGCCTGAATAAAATGAGGGAAAAATTCATGCAAAAACTGGGCAGAAAAGCATTTCAGGCAGGAGGAACAGTATGTGCAGTATGGGCCTGAGGTCATTGTTTAATGTGTTCTTGGACTAGTAAGGAGTGGATTGTGCCTGAAGCAGGCTGAGCAGAAGAGAAGAGCAATAGATGACTTCAGGTTGTATCGAACCTTGTAAAGCTTGGTAAGGACTTAGGACTTGATTCTGCATGAGATAGAAGCCATCGTAGAGACATGGTATAGCTTGAGTTTTAAAAGGAACATGCCAGCCTGTGTGAATGGTGAACAGGCCAGAGGGTCAGGAGTGTGGAACTTTGGAGACTAGTTAGAAGGCTATTGAAATTATTCTAGGCAAAAGATAGTGAGGTAAGGGTTAGAAGTGGCTGGTGTGGGCTGTATTTTTAAGTAAAGTCTACAGGAATTGCTGATGGATGGAACATGTGATGTGAAAAAGAAAAAAGAGTCAAAGGTGACCACAAGATTTTGGTCCAACAGCAGTATGGAGTTGACATTTACTGAGATTTGGAAGGCAAGAGGAACTCAGCCCGGGTCGGGGGGTGAACAGGGGTCAAGTTCAATTTTAGACATGTTAAACTTGAGTTGCTGTGTGACATCAGCATGAGATACTGAGTTGGCAGTTGGACATATGAATTTGTAGTTCAGAGTAAATTTGGTATTGAAGTTGCAAAGGTGCCATCAGTAGCATATGAAGGAACCAAGAGAGTCGTGACTGGAAACCAGGTGCAAGTCTTTCAAGGAGAGAGTGGTCACCAGTGCCAAGCATTGCGAATAGAGCCAATAAAACATGTATTGACCAGTGTATTTGACTACATGGAGATGTTGGTGACCTTGACAAGCACTTCCCATTGAGTATCGGGCTGAAAGCACCTGCTTAATGTGCGTTTGAGAGGATGGGAAGACAGAAAGTAGACTCCGCAAGTCTTTGAAGACGTGTTGTAAGGGGGAACAGAAAGATTAGCGAAGGGAGACTGGCTAAGGAAAAGTTTTGTTTTAACATGTGGTTTATTGTGACATCTTTGTATATGAATAGGAAAGTTCCAGTAGAAAGTGGGAAATTATTGATTCAGAAGATAGTGGGGACAACTTCAGGAATAAAGCCATTGACTAGATGAGAGAGCTTGGGAATCAGTACATAGTGAAGGATCTGGCTTTTAATAAAAGTGTGGACAGTTCATCTGTCACTGATGCCCAGCCCGTTTCACATCAGAATCACGTGGAGTGCTTAAAAAATGTATGCTGGTGCCTGGATGCCGCCTTAGACCAGTGAAGTTGCAGTCTCCAAGCTGAGGGCCTGGGCGTTGGTATTCTCTAAAAGCTCCCCATGGGCTTCTTGTGCAGACTGGAGCGGGGTGGCAGACAGATGGCTTTGGTGATGAGAGCGTGGGAAAGTGCTCTTGATTCTTCTCTGTGTTTTCAGTGAAATATGAAGCAACATGATCAGCTCAAAAAAGGGAGGAGGAGGAAACAGTGCTGGAGGTTTTAAAAGAGGATGTGACATAGTTGCCGTGGAGAGTGTGAGAGGAATTTAACCAGAGGAGGGAAATGTAGGTTGGCCAGGCCACATTTGGGACTCACTTGGAGGTTTGTGGTTATATATTTGAATGTGACCTACCATGTTTTCTTCTAGCTGCTTGGAAGCAGGTGTAGAGTGGACAGAGTTGAAGTTTCCAAACCTGGGGTTCCTGATACATACAGTCTCCAGTGAAAATTCAAATACGAGCAGAACTCTGTTCTCTTGTTTACATAATGACGGTCTCTCCCCATGTACTGAATATGAGCTACGCTATGCACATGGTTGGATCCTATGTGTAATGGATTGTATAGTAGATAAAAATCTTACCTCCTTTAAATAAGGGAAATAGGGCGCTATTTGTTCATTAGGGGAACAGAGTGTTCTTTGATTTGTTTTCTGGTGTGTGAATAACTTGGTTTAGATCTCTATGCATTAAACCCCATGTTTAGTATTTAATGTGTTATGTATGCCTCTTTTCCTCTAGAAATCTGCATCTATATTGGAATTTTACCAAGAACTTGGATTGCCGCCAAAACAAAAAGTTAAAATCTTTCGCATAACAGATAATGCTGTAATTAAGCCAGGTAATCTGAGGTTGGGGAGAGTAGGGAGGTATAAATACCCAAATATGTGATTTGTTTAAGGTCAGCCCTTTCAATAAAGTTGAATCCACAATACAAAGTCCCATTTATTTTTAAATATAAAACCGTATCTGATTTAATCACTAGGGACAAACAGGTCTTTTTTTAGTGAAAAGAATTGCAAAGAACTCTTTTGTTCATGAAAGAGGGAGAAACGCTTTTTTTTTTTTTTTAAGATTTTTTTTTTTTTTTGAGAATTGGGGGGATGGGAACAGTGCTGGGGAATTGGGGAAAGGGGAACAGACAAGTTGCTGTCGTTTTGTTCTTCAATCTAGTTGTGGAGGATGTTGCTTCACTGGCCCAAGTTGGCACCATCATTGCGCTCTTCTCTGGCGAGGCAGATCAGTCGCCGGCTTCTGGACGGCCGCTCACTGCGGCTGCTGGCCGCTCACGCTGGCTGCTGGCCACACACGGTAGCCCATGGCAATCCACTGCCACAGGGACTGCAGCCCACGCCGTCGCCGGCGACTCACGGCAGCCCAGCTCCAGGTTGAGCTGTTGTTCAGCATCTTAGCTGTGGAGGGCAGTGTCACTGGCCCTCATATGTGGGATCCGAACCGGGGCCCTCTGGCATCCCAAGCGAGTTCTTAACCATCGCGCCACTCAGCCGGCTTTTTTTTTTTTAATGTACAGAGAGTTTCACATTTGGAAAAGCCACTCTAAATAAATACACTGACTTTTAAAATGTGAAGTTTACTGATTGTAGGCTGGCATTTTATTAAGTGGAGAATAGTTAGACTCACGCTGAGATAGACGAATTGGAAAAAAATATAGCCTGAATTGGGAAAGTGACCAACTGTAGCATCTCGATGTAAAGATCTTACTGAAAAATTTCAAAGGATTTTACCTAATCCATGGAATCGCAAAAAGTGAGATTTGGCAATGCGATTATATTAGTTCATATAATTAACAGCATTTTGATGTCTTTAAACTTCAGAAAATTTCTCTGATCTCTTGAACTTGAGTTCTAATAAGTAGACAGTAGAAGGATGTTTTAAAATTTGATATTTTAATATCTGAACTTATTTTTTTGAAGTAAACTACAATTGCAATAGATAATATTAATTGGAGTGACAGGGTCAGCCTTGGTATAAGTTAGAAATAAAAGTATTTTTGAAGTGCAAGTTTTGCAATTAAGTGAACTTACACTAAATGTAAAAATTAAGTCCACATTAACTTTTTTGTTGGAGATTATTTTGTTTTGGGGTTTTTCTTTGACTAGTTAATAACTTCAACACAGTGATCCAGATGGAAGTCAAATATGCAAGATAGTTTATAAGTCTAGAGATCAGAGGGAAGTGATAGGCCAAATTTGTATATTTAGGTAGTATCAAAGTGCATAGATTATATTTAAAGACATAAATCTGAGCTTGATAGGGTCACCTTAGGAATGAATATAGATGGATATGAAGTCAGAACCTTGGAGCTGAGGTTAATAAGTGGAGAAAAGAAGACTTAGAATGAACACACTGTGATGGGAAATATGTGTCAAGGATATGAATCAATAGCCAGATACAAAGGGCAAGAGGTCCCAAACAAAGGAGCTTCTACCCTCTGGGAGCCTGGGGCCTGGCAGGGCGGCACGGCAAAACGTTCTGGGTCCTTAATGCGGAAGCGTTCCCAAACAAAGGCAAGTCCACATTAACTTCAGCTGTAGCTCAAGCCAAGCGAAATGGTTGGTGTTTTAGGTGAAAAAGTCAAATAACATCAGTTCAGGTCAATTAATAACCTCAAAGAATTTCACTTTTAATCTCCCTATTTTTTCTTAATTCAAGGTTTTTTTCTGCCCATACAAATCCAGGTTAGGTCCTACCTTGAAGGATACTACCCTCTGAAATTCTAGAACACTTTACTCCCTGTTTTAAACAAACAAAAATTAGGTTTCCATTACATCGGTCCCACCTTTCAAAAAAACAAGTCTCTTATTTAGTGATGTAATGTTGATTTTTCACATAGATAATCAGTTCTTGAGGTCAGAGGCTGTGTCTTAAACTTTTGTATTTCTAACTTTACATATTGCAAGTTCCCTATACATTTTTGAAGATTAATTGCCAAATTAAATCTCAGTAGTGTTAATTCCAATTTTATGTAAACAGAATATTGTGAAGGGCTTTGAGTTACAAAATTCCTTTAAATAACACATTTCTCAAGTGCATTTAAAGTAAGATTTTATTTACATACAACTAGCTTTGGAAATGTTAGGTACATAAAATTTGGGGTATCTATAATGGCAGTTTTTTGCTAGTCCAAATATCTGGGCACATGCTAAGATAACAGTATTTTATTGGAACAATGACCAGTCCACCAAAAATCTGATACATATGGACTTTATATGGATATCATACAAACCATAATTATTACCCAGAAAACAATGGACCTATATTCAAATAATTCAAGTTTCTATCTTGGATAACTTATCTCCAGTGGGTAAAAAAGATTTGATCTAACCCCAACATTTTTTGTCATCCTCTTTTTTTTTTTCTTTATATGAAATAGGAAATACACCTTAATTCAGTATATTATTACCCAAACAACCAAGAACCATCAGACTTGTGTATCTACCAGCAGGAACACTGTTGTCACAGGAACTGCCCATTTCAGCTAGCACCACGTTGGCCACCGTGAAGGCACAGCGTCAGCCAGCATGGTCTGTTGGCTTGCTCCAGCTCCGTGTCCCTCGTACTGGGGCATACTGTTCTGTAGCCCACGTACAGCCAATTAAAACATGTTTTTGGAACACTTTTATTATCTTATAGTTGGTGTTTCTAATAATTATAATTGCAGAAGAGAAGCTCCTACCATTTTTGAAATCTGATACCTAGAAAGCTTCCTGGATGTCGTTTATGTTTAGTAAAGCTGTATCTGGGCAGACAAACTTCACATGGATTTTTTGTTCTTTTCCTAAAGGTACTCCTCTTTATGCTGCTCACTTTCGCCCAGGACAGTACGTGGATGTCACAGCCAAAACGTAGGTCTACACAATGGGTTCTCTTTTCCTATTGTTTTCCTTGTATATTAAAAAATAACAAGTGAAAGAAGTAGCTTTTCAAGTCAGTGAATAAAGGATAAGTACCCATTATTTTCATTCATAATTCTAATCTTTGATGTTACTGACTGTACTGGTTTTTTAAAATTGCATTGATTTAGTTGTATGTGAAGAGTTCACATCAAGTTACAGCTTTTAAACTGTGAGATAGGCTTCTTGCAGTGGAACTAAGAAAGGTCACATTACTTGGGTTCTTTGTGGGCTGGGCCTGCTTCTATTTTGAATACCAAAGACTACATACAGTTTCACGGTGAAATACATGAACAATATTATGGGGTTCTTTTGAGGGTATTGCCTAGTAATTGGTGGTTCCTTTCAATTCTAGGAAACAGTTAAATTAGAAACATTTTATACTATTTGTGATAGAGGTGGTTGTGCCTAAGGTTTTGTAACTGTTAAAAGCCTATTTGAATCTGTAAGAAGAAATAATATTACACCTCAGACCCCTTAAGTATCATGGCATTATCTCAGTACTGGATAAGTGAGGCTTCTACAGAAGCAAAATATTTTTTTATACTTAAACAAGGGTCTAATTTGGTAGAAATCAACACTGAATTGTAACCCTAATAGAAATGCTCACTTTGGGTCATATTTAGACTGGGCAGTGGTTATTTCTGGTACTGTAGTTTTTTCATATTTTACTGTCTATCAGATGGCTTAAGATAAGTTCAGCACTGGCTAGATGATCCCCAGGAAATATTTAGATACTATAAAAGTAATTTTGCAAAAATTAGTTGAGGTTACCTCTCTGTGGAATGAAGTAACTGAGCCCTTACTTATGTTTATATAGAAATTGTTCAGTATAGGTTATTAGAATCCATGTGACCTAGGCTAAGCTAAACTCCAAGTATCACCCTTTTCCATTCCTGTTTCTTGTTCTGTCAACACAAATGATAATTTTACTTCTTTATGTGCTGTTCTCTTTTTGTCATTTGATAAAACGTGCAGCCTGTGTTCCAGCAATATTCTGACTAGGAACCCTTTGAAAGTGAACAGTGGTCCACAGGTGCTCTGGGATAGTGTTAGCATCAGTGACTGAGCCAAAGCACCTTTTATCAGAAGAAACCAGATGAGTGCCAGCATCAGTTTCCTTGATGCAGTCAGTTAGATACATCTTCATTTCCACACTGTCATTGCCTACTTTCAAATGTGGGCCATTGCAAACAGCTGCTAGGTGCCTTTACCTTTGATTAGCTGTTTAGAAATTGAGCGGGACACATTGGCAGTAGAGTGGGTCCTCTTTTTAGAGAGATTATGAACCGCTCCCTTTTTTCCCCCTGCTTGATTGTTGCATTCTTACTTCCTGGGGCCTCTGAAATCACTGGTTGCTTGGTAACTGTTTATTCTTCTCTTGTCAAGAACTCAAAATATTGGAGCTGTAAAGCTTTGGTTTTGTTAGTTGAAGAGATGTGTCTGTTGTGAATCAGATTTTTTTACTTTTTAAATTTCTGAATTAATTATTACGTATAAATAAAATACCTTACAATAATTCTGTGAATTTATACACAGTTAATTGTGTGTGAATTCTGTTACATATTTTACAGGATATATGTGATATTCCCAGAAGGCCTGCAAAGTCTGAGGCCTTTGTTAGCAGATCCTTGTGAGAGGTTTTGTAACTAGCTTGAATTAGAGCCTAGTTTTTCAAATGCCTGTGCTCAGTAAATGCTTTTATTTTATATCCTACTATTGGGTTTCCTTGGTTTCTTAAAAGTTATTTTTTAATACTTCAGCCTCCTTCTTGTAAAGTACGGGGAAGTGTTTTTGGTTTTGTTTCGTGTTTTATCATCATAGACCTAAAAAACAAAATTATGTAAAGTGTGTGTCAGCCTTAGATGAGATAGCTGATAAGAGCTGGGAAAATGGGGTTTAAAGCAGTTGACATTCAACTCTGGAGAATGGAGGACCTTTGTTTGAGAAGATCCTACTATTGTTTGGGCTGCAGTACAGTACTCTGTGTGACTTTCACTGTATACCAGTTGGGGGGAGGGTTACCACCACATAATGTGTGCACTGCACTCTGGTGTGCATACCTTTACATTGTATTACCTAAGATCAGAACAAAATGGACTTTATTTGATCTTTTGCTGAGTGTTTGCGATGATTATAGCTGTTGTTGCTGGTATGTTATTACTGCCTCAAGATGTTTGTAAGTACTTGTAAATTTGTAGGACTCTGTCCTCATGTGGAGCTGTTTTGAATTCCTCCTGTGTATAGCATTGGATCCTCAGCTGCAAACAGTCCTAGTTGCTGCTGCCTCTTCTCTGCCACTGACTTCCCAGGGTTGGGGTGGGGAGTGGGGCATTGGGGGGGGAGGGTGTGTGTAAGTAAATGGCATGTGCTTGCTTTTCTTTTTCCTTTTGAAATTTTTCTTTCTTCTTTCCTTAATGCCTCATTTTTTGGACAGTTTTCCCTCCTTGGAGTTTAAGTCCTTCACAGCCAATGAGAATGTTTTTTCCTTGTTGCTGTAAATGGAGTCATCATCTTTTGGGAGCAGGCTCTGAGTCCTTTCAGTCCCTTACTGTGGCTGAATTACAGCCAGAGATTAACTACTGTATCCTCCATTTCCAGCCCATTTTAAAATTTTGAAACTCCCAGGCTCCATCTTCTTGATTACTCACCCTGTTACAGTTGCAGAAACTATAGAATAAAATTGTCCAGTGACATGGGTTGACATGGGTTTACAGGCTGGAGCATTGGTTCTAACATACGAGTGGGCCTCAGAATCTCTAGGAGGGCGTGTTAAACACAGCTTAGAGGATCCCCACTTCCCCCATCTTCTGAGTCAGTAGATCTGGGGTAGCACCTAAGAATTCGCATGTCTGACAGGTTCCCAGGGATGTGGGTACCTCTAGTCCAGGGACCACTCTGAGAACCACTGGGTGGAGAAGAGTCAAGAGCTGGCCAGTGGAACTGCTTTCTCTTCCCATCCCTTAACCCAGCACAGACTCCAAGTGCCGTCCTGTCCTTAGCTCTACTCAGATTATAACGTATCAGCATCTGTTTTAAAGCAGAAAAGTTTAATCAATCCAGCTTCAAATAACATTAGTAAATTGGGTCTGTTTATTACTCACATTTTAGTTAGCACAAAATGGAAAATTGGTCTCTTTAGTAATTGGCTTCGTCATCTCCTTTCCATTAGAAATGAGAAACATCTCAAATTAATCTCTAATTGAATTTTCATTTTTCTCATTGTAATAATTATATTTAATTGTAAAATCTACAATTTTGAATATTTCAAATTTTTTTACCTTCAGTTTTAATTGCTGGATTAAACACAGTTTAGAAATAATTAAATAAGAAACCTTAAAACAAAAAAATACTGTCTAATTTAAGAAAATAGTGTAATAGAATCTACTTCAAGAATGAAATTGTTTGCAGGCATTTTCTTAAAGTGACCAGTGACCAATAGTAGCATCCCTCTTCTTGAAGACGTCCTTAAAATTGTTAAATATTCTTTTAATACTTGCATTGGGAAATCTACTTATATTTAAAGATACATTGTGTTTACATGTGCTGGATTTGGGTATAATTCTCTGCATAAATAAATACATTTACCAGTGTCACTTTGGAGTGTGAGGTGAATATATATTTACAAGAGTACATTCTAATTTTTACTATTATACCAGAAATAGTTTTTTTATCTAAAAGGCCTGAGAATACAAATTCAATTTAAGTTATATGGGAAAAATTTTTTGCACCTATATGTGAAAACATTCTAGCAGAATAATGTTTCAAACTTTTATTATGCTATTAATAGATAATAAAGCCCAGGCTTTGAAATATGGCAGTTTTGTAATTCATTCTAAATAAAATTTTAAGACTAGCATATATAATGTTGTATTCCCCACACCACCACCACCACTTCCTCCTCCTCCACCCCCTCCACCCTCTCTGCCCCCTCCACCCCACCCACCCCACCCTAGTACCCTTTTGAAGTTTATATTCTTATTCTGTAATGGCAATTATATTCCAGTGTAACTTCTAATAGATAATAGCTTGGAGTCTAATGTTTTCCCTTTTTTTCTCTCTGAATATTGAGGAGGAAACAGCTATAGATAAATATAAATAGTGGCATGAGGTATGACTTTATTCTGTCCTCAACATAGAATGTTTAGCCTACATTGTTTTCTGTTGAATCCTAGCGGTGCTTATTATAATTTGTAGGTTTGTTTTTTTAAAAGGAAAGAAATAAAAAAAGAATGAAACAAAGAGTAAACAAAAAGAAAACGAAAAATGCGTTGCATCATGCATTGTTTAGGGGAAAATGTTAGGTCCCTGTCTCAAAGGACTTAAGGACACAGATGGTGATGATGCAAGGGGACCCTTTCCTGACAGCTGTCTTATTGAGCTTTAAATTCATGACAGTGGTTACCTGAAGTAATATTTTTCTGGTTGTGTGGAATTTATTTATTTATTCATTTATTTACTTAAATGTCAAAGCCCAGATTGAAGTCAGAAAATAGCTCATTCAGCCACTTAAAATATTTTTTTTTTTGGATGAAGGGTAATCTAAAAATCTTGTTGACAAGTCTGAGCTAATTAAAACAACCTATATAATTTCAGGTATAATTTTAATACTTTTAGCAATTTCTGATATAATCTTATTACTTTGAAGTCATCAGTGCCCTTTAAATTCTCATTGCCCTTTGGCCTCAAAATAGAAAACTAGGCACTTACCTTGATAGTGTTATCCCTGGTAGTAAAAATGAAAGAAGGAATGAGGGGATTGGGTGATTGATAGAGCACCTTTGCACATTTACTGAGATTCACTTTGTTTGGGTTCTTTCATTAAAATATCAAAAGGCGTACCGAAATATTGTTCCCATCAAAGTCTTAAAGTGATTAAAAACCCAGGTGCATTCTTAAAGAGCAAAGACTCCTTGGGCTGTATGCCCAGGCCTGCACACTGTTCAGAGAAG